AACCAAAAGATAATCCACTTAGACATCAAACCACAAAACATCCTTTTAGATGAGAATTTCAATGCCAAAGTTTCCGATTTTGGATTATCTAAGCTAATTGGAAGAGACCAAAGCCAAGTCATAACAACCATGAGGGGAACCCCTGGCTATATGGCTCCTGAATGGTTAAGCTCTGTCATCACTGAGAAAGCAGATGTTTATAGCTTTGGTATTGTGGTCCTAGAGATTCTGTGTGGGCGAAAAAATGTGGATGGATCTCTACAGGAGGAAGATAGGCATTTACTGAGGCTTTTTAGGAGAAAGCAAGAAGAAGGGCAACTTGTGGATCTAATCGATAAGTGCAGCGAAGATATGCAGGCAAATGCAGCCGAAGTCATGGAGATGATGAAGGTTGCTACATGGTGTTTACAAAATGAACATGTCAGGAGGCCTTCCATGTCCACAGTGGTGAAGATTTTTGAGGGTTCAGTTGATTTTGTTGGTACCTTGAACGAAAATTTTCTAAATGAATTGACAGTACCTGAAGCTGTGGAGTCTGTTGCTTCAACAACTTTACCCTCTATCTTATCAGGGCCAAGGTGAAGATCATGGAGATCTTCGATATAATTCATGAAGATGGGGATGTAAGCCAAGGTATGTTCCCAAGATCCTATCCTATCCTATTTGTTGTTGAAGTGTAGAATTATTCCTCTATCGAAGCTTGTTTTGTTTCATGCATTATATTCATTCCCAAATTTGGGTCCAAGCAGAGTTGTTTACGTTCGTATGATTCGGTATCAAGAAGAAAGTTCAAGGTTTTCAAGTTTGTTTTAATGAAGAGTTCAAATTTCAATTAAAGTTTTAAAATGCCCTATTAAATGTATTGAGTATTAGTTTTAGATACAAAAGGATGAACAAATTTTTGGAGATTGCAGATTGAGAGATTTAAAAAACGTCATTATGTTGACAAACTGCGAAATGAAGCTACTGCAGTCTTTATGTCGACAGAAAACTCTCTTTTCTTTCGTTTCACACACCATAGATAAACGCATTCCAGGCTATTTTAAAGATAACAGGCAGGAGGGATTTAGCTTTGAAAATTATTTTGATCCAATTGAATTTATTTTGCCACCCATGCACTGACCTTTGAATCCACAGAACTTAAGTACTTGCAGCCCAATTGGTCTAGGGAACATACATGTAAAGAATAGATGATCCTAGATCCAACTTCCAGTTTATAATGCAAGCCGCAGTTGGGGTATGAAAGAATACCCATTTGCATAATTCTGTTTTCTTTAAAAGAAAAAAGAAAAGAAAATATCTTCACAAAAATAATTAGTAGGAAGAACAAAAGTGAATTTATGATATTCTTATTTAGAAGTGGTCAAATGAAAATAGAAAATTAAAATAAATTCCATATATAGATTAATTATAAGATTCAATTAATAAATCATATATGTTAAAATTCAAAAGATTTCTTACAAATTTCAATATTTTATTTAAATTAGTAATGTAGCTATGAGTTATAGTAATTTTATATATTGACTGCAACATGATTCAATTTTTATTAAAAATTAAAATGAAAATGATATTGCTAGTTGTGAAAAATAAGGCCTTGGCTTCGCCCCAGGGTTGGATGCTATTCAATCATTTATGATTGTTAATATCCAGCGTAGACTGCTGAGACAATAGTAAAAATTTGTTGGAAAATTACATTCCTCAAAATTTTTTTTTTAACAATCTTTTGATAAATTTGAATTCAATAAAAAGAAAAAGCTCTATTATATATATATACTAGAAAATACCTGTGCTTTGCTGAGGGTACATGTTTTTCATTTTGAGATATTTAATTTAAAAATAATAAAATATTTAAAATTATAATATAATAATTAAAAACATTAATGAATAAAATAAAATAAAATAGAGTATTATAAAGTTTAAATCAACTACGAAAATATATTAGCTTGGAGTAGAGACATGTAAATTGTTGTGCATGAAATAATTTCGTAAATGAAATTATTTTTTATCAAGAATGACTGAATTAACTCCTATTTACGAAAATTAAATAGAGACAAGAAAATAATACCTTTAATTGAGAGCAACTTAAGCTTAAAGTAATCACCAATATCTAAAACCATAACTCTAAAAAATTTGTTCCACGACTTTCTTGGCATTTTTTGTTCTTTGCTCTTCGTAATCCATTTTAGATATTTTCCAAACTCACAATAATCCAATACGATGCCCTACCTTAAAATGTTATTTCAAAAAGCATGACAAAAGTAAGGAAAAAAGAACAAACTAAAACTAAATCGGAGCAAAGTCATTGAAACATAGCAAAAGGTACAATAAACTTCACATTAAGCATAAAGAAAATAAAAAATAAAATCCAACAACAAAATCTACATGCATACAAAGAATGACAAACTAAATCCTCTTGATGCCTTGAAATCTCAATTACACCTCCAATAAACAAAATGAAATAAGTCTCCAGCTAACTTTGTTGTGGTCGAGAATCCATTTGATTCATTATTAAATGTATAATGTCACAATTATTTTAATATCTAATGAAGATTGCAAGCATACTTAATTATAACTGAAAAAGCATAAGTAAGATGATAAAAAAGTTAATATAATATCAAATCTATTTGATTTGACCATTGATTAAAAAAAATAAATGCATCTATATTACATTGATTAAAAGTCTTTAAGACATAAAAATAAAGTAGGAAGTTAGGACACAGAATTGAACTGGGCAGAAAACAGATTAAAAGGGAAAGTTTTGATATCAATTCTATTGAAAATTACCTGGAATGCATGTGTATATTTCATATAAGGGAAAAGGAATAAGAAAATATTCGAGCAAAGGGAGATGACGACTGCACAAATGGTGGACAAAGTCAAGGAAATTGTAAAATACAGGCTGCATGGATAAAACATATTGTAAGAGATATGATAAGCAAAAAACTTAGTGAAGATTGGAATTTGAATGTAGAATTTTTAAAATAAGCTGTTAACGAAATTGTTTTTCCTCTATTTGTTGAGATGTAGAATAGTTATATTGTAGCAGATTTTTGCTGACTTTAGATGAATAAAAATTCAGTTTATCCAAAAAAAAATAATAATAAAGTCATAATATCCAAAGCAAAAAAAAACATAAGAAATGGTGGACGTCTATTGTTGTTTTGAAAGAGGGACACATGCTGGAAGGAATTCATGCATCCCCCATTTTTAGTTGCTTTTTTTTTTTTTAATAAAATGCATGATCTAAATGTTTGGTTAACGATTTAATTGATATCTCATTTGCATATCATTAATGTTAGAAAATGCAATGCAAAACAATATAATATTTAATCACATAAAATTTGATACAAACAACTTAAATAGAAATTCTACCAAATTCAAATAGACCAATTGATAATAATAATAATAATAATAATAATAATAATAATAATAATTATTATTATTATTATTATTATTATACGAAAAAATTATACATTAGATCATTATTTCGTAAAAGAATCTATGATGAATAATGAAATAAACATTTTCCCATGAACTTTGAAACTTTTTCAATTTGAACTTTATGTATAACAATTGAATCAACAATGAAGCTAAAAAAAAAATTAGAGAGATGAAAGGTGGAGAGAGAAAATGAATGGGTATGGCAGGAGAAGCAGCCGTAACCGATCAATGGAGAACAGGCAATCACGTTCAGAGTTAGATTAGTGAAAAAGGAAGTTGGTAACAGTTTTTGTTGATAATATCCACCCAGATGGCAGGGAAACAGAACTGTGGGGCAAGATCATGCAACCCAGGAGAATCCTTGACTTCTACATTCTCCTCGAGGAAACTGTTTAGGCGTAGCAAATTTAGCTTTTTTCGCTTCAAAGATTTGCGTGAGACTCTCTTAGTCATAAGGGCTTTGGATGGTTCAGCGTGGAATGGATGGAGGCTAAGGGTGAGCCTGGCCAAATATGAGAAAGGTTACAATGGCACCCCAGCAACAAAACATGTGCGACGAAAAACATTCCTTACTCGACCTATCTCGCGTATGAAGTTAAAGGAGGATGCGAGACCTACCTATGCAAGAGTAACAAAAAGGCATTTCCAACCCAGCAGGAAACACTGATGGTAGGCAATGCCAATGCAACGAGCCAAAAGGGATTGTACAACCGGTACTAGGTGACAAGACTCAAACACAAAACAAGATTGTTGTGGAAGAGGAAGAACTGGATACAGCATGGTTGGAAAAGTGTGCAGTGGCAGAAGTCAAAAACCCTCACGCTATTAACAGGCTTTAGCAGTACATTCTTAGTGAAGGAGTTAGGCACTTTTCAATCGAGTTTTTTCCCAAGATGGTGTCCTTCAAACTCTTTATTCTTTAATGAGAGTTATTTTAAACTTATTTCTCTAAATAAGGTTGTCTAAGCCACATCATTTCCATGTCATTTTTTATAAAATAAAAAATTTCCATGTTAGTAAGAAAAATATGTAAAAAATAAACAAATTAAAACAAAACCTTAAACCCCCGCCGCTCTATTCTTCTACCTCTCAAGAAGCTGATGCCAAGAACGAACCTTCTGTGTTTCCTTATTAGCCTTTTCCTTGGGGTTGAATCAAATGAAAACCCACTACAGCCTTCTGTTGCAAAAGAGTTTTTTCAATTTTTGAAGGAAAAGTGCGACTTGTCCAGGTTTGGAGGTTCAAATTGCAGTGGTGGCAGTGGCAATAATGGTCAAGTTCGGGGAAATTGATTTCTGAGAAGAAAGATGGGTGGCACTCAAGAGTGCATAGTCTTAATGGGCAAGGCAAATTCCGACTACAGAATGGGGAATCATCCTCCATAATTGGTACTGCTCTTACTTTGACTCTGACTTATTACTATATCTTTTTTCTTTTTTGTATATTTGCTTTTGTTTCCATTGTGCCATTTTAAAAAAATCAATTAATTTGTAAGAATTTCCAATGCATACTCAAGCATATGTTGTTTGAGGCTCGACTCTATTATTAGAACATGGGATTGAGAAGGATCTGCTTTAGGGGATGATTTGACAGGGTAGCCTTTTTTTTTATAAAAAAAAGGTATTATAGTTGATGTTATTTTAAATGTTGTTTGTGTGAACTGATCTTTCATTAATCAAAAGCAATGCACAACTTTGAATATAGCTTCATATTCATGAAATTATGTACACATGCTAAAAGTTGAAAGGGAATTTCATTTGATTTGCTTTGTAACTATATGAAAATTTTATGATTAAGTGGGTTCTACCAGCGTTGTGTTAGGCAATTTTGAGGTCTGGGGTTGTGAAGTTATTTTGACAGAGTGATAGTATTGTTGCAGGTAGGCAGTTCAATAGAACTTCAAAGACTTTATAATGCGATTGTTGAGTCAACAGATGGCTATTGGTTGGATAACTATGCAGTTCTTGAGAAGACTGTCAGGTAGACGTTCTGCTTTATTATTCTCATGTTTAGACCTTTGTTTTCAAGTTTTGCTTATATATGGATAGATTACATTCATGTTGTTGGTTATAAATAAAATTTAGTTTCAACATTTTTTATTGTATTATTGTATCAAATACTTTTTTAATATTTTGTACCCTTCTTTGCTCTACAGTTCAACTCTAAAATATAACCTCATCAAAATTTGCAGAGCTTCTTTTAAGTTTGTTTTCTAAATAAAAAACGAGTTTATT